AGTTGGAAAAAAGCTGACATAATTTCTTGGTTGGAAAAAAATAGGGTTCGTCATAACGACAAAATGTTGAAAATAGAACTTTTGGATATTGTTAAAAAAATAAAACATAAATACGATAAATATATTATTGACGAAATGGCCAAAGAAATAGGTATCGACGTGTTACGTTTACCTCCGTATCATTGTAATTTAAATCCTATTGAATTGATATGGGCAGATATGAAAGGTTACATCGCACGTCACAACACAACATTCAAACTGTCGGATGTGCGAATTTTAATGAATGAAGCTATCGAACAAATAAATGAAGAACGATGGAGAAAATGTATTGAACATATAGAAAAAGAAGAACAACGAATGTGGGAACTTGATGAGATTTCAGAAACTGTTGTAGAAAAACTGATTATTCAGTCTAACACAAGTAGTGACGAAAGCGATATAAATGATTACTTTGAGCAACTATGTTCTGATACAGATGATTAATAAGGTAAGTTTACACTATAATTATTTTAAAAAATTTTTATTTATATAAATATAACATAGATAAATTCATACATGTTTTCTGTAAGTCTTAATAATATATATTTAATAATAATTTTTGACAAACTATATTTAAACGATGGAAATAATTTAAACGGCTACGTAAAAATGTTAAAGTAAGCTATAATAACTTTTCTAAGTATTGTATTATCTCGGTAATTTTTAAATTGTTGTGACAACTTTGACCAACTTTAACACGTGCAGAGAAAGGGGCTTAACTGGTCAACACGTGTCGAGCCACTTCCGATTGTGATTTGACCAATGAAAATCTTCGGCGGATTAATACGACAGAATCTTTGTTTACAGTAGCTGCCAAGTTAGGATAAATAGACTATAGATGGGAAACTTTTGCAACTTTAAACAAACTCCCTTTCTGAGCATTTAAAGATATGCTCCATTGGTTTCAGCAACTGGTTTAGACTGAATAAATCCATTTCATCAACATATTTTTTTGCACCCTTTGTAAACTTTTTCAAACCTTTTCTGCCCATAATTTTGCACCTTAAAATCTGTTCACTGTTGGTAATTTAGAACATTCAAAGATTAACAAAACAATATCTTTTGAAAATGTAATTGTGCTTATTAGAAAGCATCATTTCTCCAAAGTAACTTTTATTATATTAATTTTTGGATGTTTTATATTATTTTAAAATGTCTGGTTTCTGAATTATATTCCTGACAATGAATAGTACATTCTAAAGCAGTAAGATGAATTTTTAACCAAACTGAAAGACTCCAATTAAAGCAGTTATTTTATTTTGAAGAAAAAAGTTGATTTGTATTTAAAATATAGTGTCTCTCAATAGATGGTATCAGATGTTTTCTGAATAACTTCTTAAAAATCTAGTATCTTTTATTAAAAGTGAGGAATTACACACAAAATAAGATATCTGTTAAATAGTCACTTTAGCTTCTCAGTACATATGTAGTCTTTAGATGAAGTTTTCTATCACATTTTTTCATAATTGAATATAATGCTAAAATCAGCAATATTTGCTGGATTCACTTACCTTATCTCTCTTTCTAGAATACCAAAATTCATAATTAAAGTTCTATTTCTGTAATAAAAGCTTGAACATTTTATTTCAGCAGTATTTGAGTCCACTGGATCTTGTATGAACAAATGTGCAAGTTTGTCAAAATTCTCTGCAACACTGAGCATGAAACACAGTTGCTGTGTATAGAATTTGATGGTTGTCTTTCCACAATCCTTTCACACTTTCAACATTCTCAGCCAAGCATCCATTAAATGTACATCATAAAGTTAAAGAAATTAATAATGATAATGAGTCAGTCATAAAGTACAAATTCCACTCACTGCCTATGCTCAATATTGATGACATTTCGAAGAAAACTAATGAAATGCACAAAGAAAGAATTAGTTTACATCATGAGGAAAATAGTGTCCTCAGTGATACTGTGAATTAAAAAAAGAAATGATACAAATAATTAACCACATTCAGCAATCTAAGAAAAACATTTCAGATAAGAATGCACTAGCAACATTTATAACTTTAATTTTAGAAAAATCCAGTTTGTTGTAAACAAATCAGACATTATGACTGCATTCAGCAGACTCAACAGTTTCAGAACTGTTGAGTATTTTCCCAACAAAACACCGTCTACAGTAGCACTGTTTCGGAACTTGTATGGTGTTTTGATGTCAAATTTAGTATCTTTCATTTACGCTACCCGTCACTAGCTGCAACTGACCAATGACGGTTGCTTCCAATTTTAATGCACATGTCATCCATCGTTCAGCAGATTAACTACGTAATGACTATCAATTGAAACATCTTTGTTCAGTTACAACTGTCGAATCTGGTGAACAGCCATTGTCCAGCAGTAAGAAACAATATGGATGAAGTCATTCTTGTTGAGCTCATACAACTTCATAAACATACTCTAAGTGGGGTATCTCTTCCTTTATCTTCCAGAGAACCAGTTTCTTTGTATATCACAATTAACTTTTGAATTCCTTTGGTACTAGACACATGAATTCTTACCAAAAAAGTAAATTTTCTTTGCATTGTTTTAGATTGCTGTTTTTCATAAAACATTTCAACAAGAACAATGCATTCTGCAACCAGCACTGCTCCATTTTTTCCCTCTTCACTTTGAACATGCCAAATGCCAAATATCACTGACCAAAAAATAGCACAACAAACATCATGCACAATTCAAATTTGACACCACGTATTGGTACATCCTTTAGATCACCTTTAGATCAATATGGAATATTTAAACAAACATATTCTTCTTGTGGCATGTTGTTTTCTTCAATAAATTCAACTGATCATGCTAAATATTGAAACTGATTAATTTAATTAATTGATTAACTTTTTATTACTTATTGTAATTATATTCGGGCTAAAAACATATAGAGAATATAAATTTAACAAATTTGATTTTCTGATAATATAAATCATAAATTAACTATTAGGATGAATTAAAGGTAAAATTATAAAATCTTAAATGCTTATCATTTTTCAAGATGGATCCTTCACCATCTTAGAAAAGCTTCTCTTGTAAAATTATGATCAATAAACAAAGTTATTTTATGTTTAAGTTTAAAAATATTATAAATGCTTTTTACCTTTCTTCTTCCTATATAATTTAATAGTTATTTAGAAATAACTATACTTTATAATATTGATAAAACAACACAGAGCAAGAAATGGCGTCGAATTTACAAACGAACAATCCCATAATTCAACAGCGCCATTCCAAAAACCAAACGATAATTAGATAAAAATATATTTTTTTAATTAAGAGAAAATGTTATTTTTTGTTTAATTTTTTATATATTTAAAACAATATGGATCATTTCAATGTTACTTAAAATTTTATAATATTTTTATACAATTTAAAATAATTTATATATTCATTTTTTTTTAAAAATAATATTAAATACAGTACTTTATAATCGTCTGTTTGTTTAAGTTATGGCAACGCAACACGCGGGCGATCTGCCCAGGGGTGCCTTCAGTTATCCTGATTTTTAATAACCGTTTTCCAACGTAAATAATCTTTCTCTAACGGATTCAACCCAACTATTCCTCTTTCGATCTCCTGGATGGAGGTTTCCCAATTCCCCGCATTCTCTGAGACGAAGTTCGGACCATTCTTAAGAACCGCTTTAACCTTATCCGATACTTCAACTTGGTCCCATACCACGTATGTTGTAAAGCTCTTCCCAATCCTTCTTGAAACCTGCTTATAAATAATCCATTTCATTTTCTTAACATAACGCTTTGTTAGGTTCTTATGAATATTATCCGTTAGACAAACGACTCTTTGGTTAATATCCATTCATTTATCCGGATCTTCATTAAAAACCTTGTTTTCAAGTTCAATAACGTGACTCAGGATCCCATACTTTTTCTTTTTTGTTAATCTAATAGATTTTCTTAGGCACGCCAAACAAAATCGTAGTTTTAGCGAGAGGCACTCCTTTGGAATGCAGAGTCCTTTTTCGCTTTCGAAGGCCAAACATATAAACAAAACAGGGGACTACCTACGGAAGCCCAACTTCGGGGCTTCTTTGCGAGCTTGTGGTTAGAAAAATCGTAGAAAAAGTTGTATATAGCTTCAGAAATGATATTGTTTACTACAAGAGACATGTGGACGATTTCTTATTCCATTTCTGATTTTTAATAATAAACTGATTTTTTTGGAGCATTTAAAATCGGCGTTCATAACGAATTCAACGGGAAAAAATGAAAAAGTCGAACAACTAATTGGAGGAGCAACACACAAATCGATTTAAGCAACTAGTTGAAGGACTGACAGCTCATCATCTCTAGCACCCAAATGTTCCGACATGGTGCATATATTTTAAAGCTCAGCAAGGAGATACTGAGACAATTGTGAGGTCCCAGACGAGGTCCGAAATCGCGTAAATCGCGGAATTCTTGTGTTTAAATTATAACGATAGTTAAATAAGAGAGAGAGAAAAAAACCCTTGGTCTAAACGTGGCACAAAATGTAAACAACGAGTTCCGGGACGATGAACACGTGTTAAACGATCTGTCAATTTCAAACCGAAAGGTAGAACTCTGACACAATCGCTCATAAATAGTCAATACAGGAAAACAATATCGAAAAAGGGGGAAAGATTTAATGGATAGAAAAACATCGCATATGATCGTTAAAGTTCCCAGACGACAGAAATCACAAACAACGGGCTAAATTATGAGCTCGAGTCTTGTGGTTTTATCAACAATCCCGAGCACAATAGACAAAAAGGCGCCTGATAGACACCCCGAATCGGAACTTTCCCGTGACCCTAGTCGGATTCGGTTTTCACCTGGAATCAAAGGAGAGACCAATCGGGAAGCGAGGAATGGGACAAGGGGGCCAATCGGAAATACGAATAGAGGGAGAAAAACTATAAAAATCGGAAATTCAAGGTCAAAGGACAGTCTCCTCTAGATTAAGCCAAAAGTCGTGACTATTAAATTGTGTTGTGCTACCGCCTACCACTTAGGACGCAACAGCATCTCTGCGATCACCTACATCTCATCTCGTCCGGGGCTACGACTCAAGTCGAAGTTCTCGCTATCCCGAAGGACTATAGAGAATTGGAACTGTCAATTATCGATGTAAGCATAAATGTTACCAAATGAACGGCTTTCTTTTGTAAAACACTTGTCATCATTTGCCTCCTCCGCTACAGCTCACATGCGAACTTCCCTTAGGTTCATCCTGACACGGGATTAACTGATTTCCCCTAAAAGACGGCAACCTCACACTGGTGCCGAGGAGTGGGTTTTCAAGTCCCCTATCTCCACCGGTCGGAGACCTTACACAATGGCCCATTTTTTTGGCAAATATGCGATGCATGTAGCGAAAAAATGTAAGTTTTTTAAAGTTGTTAAATAAAATGCTGAGAGTCACACTTGTTTCGAGGATCAGATCAGAAGGCTTGCAGAAAAGATTTGCAAGAACTGGATGGCGTATTTTTAGGCAGAGTTCATAAAATTTCTGTTGTCTAAAGTGTCAGGACAAAAGAATATTAAGAAAGTATTAATAAAATTATGACTTATGAGGGAAAACAATGGCTAAATATAACAGCTCAATATAACTTGAACCAATATTTCCTTTAAGTGTAATTTTCAGTTTCACTTAGCTAACGCTTGATCTTATGCGGACAAGCGTTATCGCAAGATAACAAAATGGTACACAGTGGAAACTTGATTATCCGAAACGGTTTTCAAAGAAAAACAACAGAACGTGTAGCGTTGTAGGCTCATGCCACAGAGTTTAAAGAAACTACGAAAGAAATAAGTAACGATGGATCACGTTTGGAAACTAGACGTCAAAGATTTTTTTATGCACGTCTGAATTGCCTATGGAAAGAAAATTAAGAATATGGTTACTTTATTTTCATCTAGTCAAATGAAAAGCTATTTTCATAGTATGAAACGATACATAATTTGTAATAAATACACCTGTTTATATTATCATAACACACCTTTTATGTTGCAGAGATAATTTTTATTGGCTTATTCTATAGGTCATCCTCAGATTAAATGAGAGAATTGGAACATCGGCGTTCCATAAAATAGAATACATATATTCGAATTCAAAAATTGACAACGGAAAGACACGAAGACCATTAATCATACGAAATTTCCAGGATTTAACAGAAAAATCAATCACAAAACGATTATTGATGCGAATGTCTGAAATTCCCTTTAATCGATGCAACTTGTGATCACCAGAGTCCCTTCGGCCGCCAATTTAAAGTCTTTTTAAAATTAGCGTTTCCACTTCCCGGGACCAGGACCCAGGGATTGGATTTGTGGGAAGCGAGTGTTCAGGTTGTTTTGTTGTGTCCAATCACAGACAACGAGGCGCTTGACGTGTAAGTGCTCGAGTGCGAGAATTCGAGTAAAGGTTAAACGGTGTATAATTTCGTGTACAGTGATGTTATGTGTATGTGTGTGTATGTCAGTAGCGTGCCGTATATATATATGTATAATAAATATTTATCGCGTAATATGTATTTATTTTCTAAAAAATAAATACATATTGCGCGATTATTTTCATATTTTAACGTATTTTGGATTAATTAAAATTAATATTTTATTATAACCGCATTATGTATCTTATTACAAATTTCTGTACTACATGTGAAAAAAACGATAAGATTGCTATTGTATATTGGAATATCAGTAGCGGATTGGAAGCGCTGTATTGTCGAAACCGGGTCAGCTTCCAAGCAGCCAGATTATACGCATTCGCGCATGCGCTTTACAGAGCACCAACCTCACTCGGTTTAGCTGGTGGAAGCTACACACCTATAACGCTTCCAACGATTCTATCCATGACCAGTTATGGGCTTTTGGCCGCCCTCCTCCGATTATGTGAATCATGAGTAGATTTATAACAGTAAAAACTCCTATCGGTTGGGTTGATATATTTTTATGATAGTTCTGCATAGTTGACAGGAGTTTAAAAACATTTCATATTACTTACGGATTTCAATGTGTTAAACCATTGATATTACGATCTCGTATGTCCCATCTATAATATAAGGTGGTGTAGAAAAAATTGTACAATTCTTGTACTATGTTTAAAAAATTAACTGTTACTTTGGTAGCATCATTTACAACTAAATTTAACGAATGAGAGAGATGCACGAGGTACAGAAAAAGCTCTAGAATTTATTTTCCTTAAATTTACGATTTATGTATCCGTTTGTCATAAAAATTTGTCTTTCCACTTTTTTCCCACGGTTACAAATATTCAAGTACAAAGTAACCGGTTTCGACTTATTTCTATTTAAGAAGTAGTTAAACAATTAAGAGTTTAAGGAATTAGGGACATAAAACTCTGCTGAAAGAGCCGGCATTTTACTTAAAAGCTAAAAGTGGATACTGATTTCTTCGTAATATTAGATGTAATAAAGACAAATTTTTCCAGTTCAACGAGAGTGACTGAAAAGTATGTTTTGGAAATTTCCGTGAATACCTGGTCCTAAAACGAATTAGTTAGAAAACAAATGACGGACAATCTATTAAGTTTAACATATTTAGATTTTTAACAGCTATGGTGAGAAACGTTTAAAATGTTCAACAACCCTGTCGAGTCCTTTGAGGTATACGAGTGATGCGACAAATGAGGCATTTCACATTGACCGGTATCGGCACCCTCGGGATCTGACAGTCCGCATGCCGTGCAACTTACTCTGATTCCATCCATTCGCCACTCGTAGGGAGCTATTTGACTAAGTGGATTGTTTTAAGATTTAAAAAGTAAAGAATATTTTATGTTATTTTTATGTACGTTTAAACCACACGAATTACATTCCATTTTATTTAACGTGTAACGAGTTCAACAACGTTGACAGTATGACAAACAAATGATAAGCATATACTGCGTTCCATTATTAACAAAGACTGAACAAGCACAAAACCCACGTATAACCATGGCCCGAAACTGACAAATCCAGTTCCCGCGACTGGTGCTGTTCGCCTTAGCGACATAATTTAGAACTAAGATTAACCAGGACCTTTGTACAAGGATGATGAAGCACTTTGTCCAATTTGTAACCAAACTCTGAATATTGTTTATAAAGGGAAGACACCATTAGAGCAACATCTGAAAACAGATCATCATAAGAAAAATATTACATCAACTGGAAGCAATGTTCGAATTGAGAAATGTATTGCACCACACAATTCCGAATTAGAGAAGAAGGTTTCGCTACTGAATTAGCTTACCACACAGCCATACATCATTTCAGCTTTAGATCTGTAGATTGCTCAAATAAATTGAACTCCAAAATTTTCAATGACTCGATGGTAGCAACCCGAATTTCTTCTGCCGGAACAAAGACAGAAGCTTTGATTAAAGGTGTTTGGCATCCTATTCATTAGAAAAGACATCATTTAGAAGAGTTTAAAGTATTCAATTCATAGAAATTGCTAAAAATTGAATATAACTATTAAAATTGAATATAAACTTGTCCAGATGACATCAGTCTCAAACAAAAAAGCAGCTACCATTAAGGATTTGTTAACAAATACACTGAGGAAATAACCTTGTCAGAACCTGAGGAAAATTACATGTTTTCAAAAATGTATTGTTTTAGAAGGAGACAACTGTGGGTCATGTGGTCATGTCGGAAAAAATCATGTGTTTGCATTGCTAAGACAAGACATCAAGCATTTAGAAGGTAGCGGATGTACAGTGCATATTGTATTTAACATGCTGTAGATTCTTTACCCATTGATATTGAGAGCATCCTTGTAAAAATTTTTAAACATTTTTCTATTTATACTGTCCAGGTTGAAAAGTTAAATATTATACTTATGTGTATGATGGAAACATCATGTATTGTATATATTGTGTTTGAAAGGCTTTATTTTAAAGATTTCCTTTGTTGTTGGAATTTTAATACTTTTAATTTTATTAACTTTCTTCAATGAAAAATAAACTAGCAACGAGTTGCTCAATTTCTCGGCTACATTAAAAAGTTTGGTGACGTTATCTGTTATCATATTTTATTAAAATATTTGTTATATTTTTAACTATTATAAAATGGCAGAAATTTTAATTTTGGGGTTACAGATGAGTTTTATAAAAAATAAATAAATAAATAAAATTGTAAATGCTAATAACGAGTAAAATCGTCACTAAGTCTGACCCTACCGGAGATTCACACGACTCCCATTATCTTTCCACCTCCTCAACCTTTAACCGCCAAAATTTAATATCATTGATTACTTTAATAATCAAACCACCCTGCAAAATTTCAGGAATTTTGTTCCCCCACTTTGAAGCTTAAGCACCTTTTGTCGAAAATTTCTGAAATTTGTGAATTAAGGCATTCTGATAGCAATTCCTGGGGCACAAAGAGCCAGAATCATTATAAATTCTTCTTTGAATTTTCAAAAATACAGATAATATTACTTTAGAATAAATGAATGATTCGATATTTCTATAATTTTATTTATTAGAAAAAAAAGCACTATTTTAACATAAAAAACACAAATTAATTCTGTTTCTAATGAATATTATTTTAATAAAATAATCCTTTCTGAAACACTTCAAACCAATTAATGTTTTTACGTAACACTTGACGTAAAAATATGACAGGATCGTAATACGTCACGCGTTCTTAACAATGTATTCTAACAATACGTAAGGAATTGTTAGAATGTATTGTTAGCTTTTTCTACTGTAGGTGGCTATTGTTAAGCGTAAATTTGTTCGAAAGTTCCGCGTTTCTTTGAGATTTTGAGAAAAAATTGTGATTAAGTAAACTTCAGTAATGTACGGGAGGCAGAAAGAGCTCTCTGTGTCGCCTTTCTCTTAGGCCCGCTGGAGTAAGGAGATGGAATCTACCGTCGGCCTTTTTACTGGAGTTACTCTTTACTCTTTACTCAAACTAACTCTTTATGTCCTGCATCTTTAAGGCTCGCTCGGACGAAGAGGAGATCCGACGACAGACAGAGAACGCTCCCTGTGTCCCACATCTTTAAGGCCCGTTCGGACAAAGAGGGAGACGGAGACAAAAGGCGGAGAAGGCTCCCTGTGTCCCGCATCTTTAAGGCCCACTCGGATGAAGACAAAATACGGCGAGACTTAGAGGACTCTCTGTGTTTCGTTTCCTTAAGGTTTGCTCGAGTGAAGAGGCCGACCGGAGATGGAGAAGGCTTTCTGTGTCCCACTTTATTAAATCACGCGCATGGCGAGTATGTTTTTTTTGTTTTGTTAATGAGGTTCGGTATGAGATTGAACTAAATTTTGTGACCATAACGTGCATTTTATTACGACCAGGTGTATTTATGGATTTCTTTATCATTAGTTGTAATATTGCATTTCTTAGTTTAGTTAGTAATAATACGGCGAGTTTCGAATAGCTGAATTTGGAGTATTCAGAGGTAATTATAAATATTTTGATCGTGTGAGTTAGGAAGTACTCGATTCGACAAGTGATGTTGGTCACTTGTGGAGTAGCATTCTTTCCAACTCTTGGTGGAACTCTGAAGCAGCCACTTCCACGTGGTGAGTTCTGGGTTGTCGTTCGTCTGGAAATGACGAACGGCAGGCAAAGAGCTGCTTGTTCCATTTTATTCATTCGGCCGCTGCTGCGCAGCTTTTTTATTCCGTTTGATGTTGAAAACCCAAAGTGTTTTGGTGTTTCGTTGAAAAAGTCGAGTACAAAATCAAATTTAAATTTATTATAAACTGCTGATAAGTAATTTACAAATGTCCCTTTTGTGATTTATTAATTCTGAAATTGAAATCTTTTGTTAAATATATTTTATTATATTAACTCCGGGATTCTTGACGGGGTCGATACTGACCCTTTAGGAGTAGATGAAAGTTTGCGAGAATGGCTAAAACTCTGCAAATACAGCGGTGCCTCGTATAACGTACTTAATCCGTTCCAGGTGCACGTCCGTTAAGTGAAAAGTATACGAAACGCATTTTCCCATAGAAATACATGTTAAAACATATATGTAATTCGTTCCACAGCATATAATAATCGTACTGTACCATAAAAAAAATGAAAAATGGAGCAGTCACCAGGTAGTCAGATCTTGTGAGGAAAAGGTGGAGGAACACTTTCTTTACACATTCATACAGATACAGACTTTTTACACATTGCAGCAGGTCTCTTTTTATTGTTTTTTAATCGGAGTCAGATTAAGGAGAGGCTACCGGAGCTTGCAGGGTCATCTCCTCTTGTTCCATCCTTTGTTTTTTGGCAGCTTGCTTCTTGAAAAACATGTCCAAGGTGGTCTGTTTCTCTCTCTTCTTCAACATCTGTCGGAAATGACGGGCAAGGGTGTCATTGTAGAGATCATTGATCCTGTTGGCCTCAGCTCTGTTTGGATAATGAGTGTTGGTAAACTCCTTAATATCTCCCAATTTGACAAGGAAGTTTTTGTCAACTTTCACTCCTTCTGATGATGTCTTGCTTTGTTTCAATTGAAATCATCTTTCTGTTTTTTAGAAGCCATGATTTGCACAACACTTGAATAAATGTAAAGACCCTGCACTGAAGTGATGAACGTAGTAAACAAGGGAGCAAGCCGAATTCAAACGGGCGCTCTGTACTTCAGATATTCTAATAATACTATATCTATATCTATATATAAAAATGGACGTGTGTGTCCCTATATTTCACTTTTCAGCCAAAACTACACATCGCACATTAATGGTGTTTGTATGTGGTAGTAGCCCCGAGTCTCCATTCGTGCACTATGGTGGTTGCGTCTCGATAGCTATAAGGGTGCGGGAGATATGGGCTTGAAAGTGGTTGAAAGTGGAAGATATTCTATTTATATTTTAAAAATTTTCGAATTCGAATTTAAATTCGAATTGGTTCGGTTATAGAACGATTGTAAACGTTCCAGAAAATTGATCAAATTGAAATTAGTTCGTTTGACTGGACGTAAAAATCCTGTAATTAGTCTGGAAATGGGGACCTAATTCTTGCATTCTGTGAGAACGGGTAAGATTGGCTATAACGTAATTATCTTAATCTTCACTATCGTTACTTTTTGCCTTCAAATAAAAACCCAGCGAAACGGGTCCTTGCAGCTAGTATATTATAAAAATAGCAGATTGTCATTGGCAACGGCAAAAGAGTGGAAACGTTATTCGCACTTGTTCGCAGAAAGACCGTTGTTCGCCTCACGTAACGGCCAAACAGAAATTCCGTTGTTCGCAGTGTCCGTTATTCGAGGCGTACGTTATACGAGGCACCACTGTATTTAAAATTTTATACATTTTTCTTGCTCTTAAATAAATGTTTTTTAAAAATTATATAAGAGGTTATATTATATATAATATAATATTGTATAATATATATACATACATATATATATGTATAGTACATAACATTGAATGGGTCGACAGAAAAAATACTTTTTTAAAAGAGGACAAAACACGAAAAAGATTAGGAACCCTTGCATTAATTGGTTTAACTTTTAATTTTTTTGGTTTGTAGACAATTGAAACCAATCGTCCATCTTACTTTCCCGGCTTCTTGTGTATGTAACACGGTAAAGTATTGGAATCGTATCAACCTTGACTTTCCGAGATTTTTGCCAATTTCGACGATTTCAACCTAGAAAAGCGAAAAGAAATTCCTACAATGAGTTGCGTGTGTTATGTGGCTCGTGCCATCTTTTATGAGATTTTGTTGTGAAAACAATGTTTTTATATTATAAGATGACAAAAACCTTAATTTTGAGGGTAGTGATTGATTTTATAAAAACAATCGTAAATGCTAATAACGAGTAATCTTCGTTAAGTCAGATCTCTCTTGAGATCGCCCACTACAGTATTTGGATCTTTATCATCATCAATGCCCTTCATAATCAAGTTACCAAATTTCATGTTATCATCTTTAATTTATCCTGAGATGTAAAATGAAATAGACGCCAACATACGCACTGGCATGCCACATGCATCCACAGATATCTTTCCCGTTAATAGCATTTTCAATTTGTTTCTTTTATAAATCTCATCCTCACTCTCAAAATTAAGGTTGTTGCGAAGTATACAGAAGTATAACGCAAAATTTAAAAAGCTAGGAACAAAGGATTACTGCATAGCAGTGTTTTCCAACCTTTTGGTCATGTGACACTTATAAAATATGGAAGTTGGAAAAATTAAAGGCTTACGTATATTATGAAATAATATACGTTTGATATAATACAATTTTGACTACGTAAACGTTTATTTGAGAACAATATTCCATTTATACTTGTACTGTATAGTACAATACTTATATACTATTTATACAACACAATTTTAAAATTGCACGATACCTCTTTAAGCGATACTGTGGCTGAAAAATATTGCTTTATAGGTTAGTGCAATTTGATCTCCAAACTTTCTTGATGGCGACCCCTACGACGAAAATAATTATAAGTTGTACTCTGTATAAATCATTTTGATTAAGTAACACAAAATAAAAACATTGTGTTTTGACTGGTGCTGCATACCTGTTATTAAATGTTTAAAAATCTATTGTTTTTGGGTACTCGAATACATATTAGGACAAGGAATTGGAAGGAATGTTGAATCTAAAATGAATCTCACTCGTCTGCAATAAAACTTTTCAAATAAATTAGAAAAATGTACATATAAAATCTATGTTTATGGAATAAATTACTGAGAAAAAGTTGCGAAATTTTCACTATAAATACATAATTCCTGCTAAATTTCCCGCTAACCCCAATTTGAATTTTTTCCGTGTATGATCGCGAGTGATCGTGAGCCTACTTCGGGAGGATGACTGTAAGATTAGACAGACTGCAAACAGGACACACATACAGTATTTTGAAGGGAAACTTGGCTTAATTTAACCCAAGTATCACTTTGAGTATCCCTGTGGAGTACGCGAACCCCACTTTGGAGACCATTGGGTATAGTGTATACAAAATTAAATGTTTAGGGGAGACCGGGGCAAGATCGGCATGTTAAGTTTTACTTAAATTTTGTGTAATAAATACTGCTGTAAACTGAAAAAAAAGCTTTGCATATTGTCTATTCGAATGTTACCTTACTATAGAACTGGTTAAAATCAGTTTGGAAATAAAAATAATTAAAATAATTACAACTTTACAAGAAGAGAGAAATTGACGAAGTTGCCCCGGGTATAGGGGCAAGATCGGCAACTTCTCTCTTTTTGTAAAGTTGTAATTATTTTAATTATTTTTATTAAAGTTGCCCCTGGTATAGGGGCAACAGTAATGGGGCAAGATAGGCACGTATATAAAATTATGTTATTAACAATGTATAAGTTGGAATTCACTATTAAAACAAAGAAATACAAATCCAACACCCATTTAATATTATTACAACGAAATGCAAGTTCAAAGACATATATACATGAATAACAAATGCAAACATGTTTTCATTTATCATCTGTTTGATTTTTATCCTTTGCTTCTAATGTGGCTTTATGTTGCCGATCTTACCCCGCTAGTCATGATTTCGAAACATTAAGTACAACCCTGAGAACAGAATGCCAAGCCACGATCTGGCCACGTGAATAAGTTGAAGTTACATCCTTCTAACAGGAAAAGTAACTTTCGTTATCATGGAATTATAACAAAACCTGCCAATTCAATATAAATGGAAAAAAAATATTATATGGAATTCAACGAAAATGAAAATTTGCTTGATAATTCAACTACGCTTGTTGGAGAACAATAAAAACACTACACTAAACAAGCCACCAATAAAACTCAACTGCCTAACCTATAACCAAAGTCTCCTTTTAATTTGTTTTTAAAAAAAAGCGCTTGACAAACTTGTCCCGCATGCCGAAGTTGCCCCGGTCTCCCCTATATTTAAGATTTACAAGAAAATTCCAGAAAAATTGTTTTTAGAATTTTCTTGTAAAATTTTGATGTAATTATCGTTCTGGCTATTTACTACTGGTTTTATTAATGGTAATTAAAAGAATTTTGTTCTTTTGTCGAAATTGAATATAAGCAAATTCTTAGTCATTCCATGACCCGTTGGTTATTCTTATATCAAGTAATCGCACGAGTATTAGAAATGTATGAGCCACTAAAAAGTTATTTTTTATCTATCGAAAAGCCTCCAGTTGTGCTTAAATCATTCTTTGAAAACCCATTAAATGAAGCATATGTAATGCTTGTACATACATTAGCATAAAGTTTTCACCGAAGTTTTTAAAAATGGAAAAAGAATCTAATTGTGTAAATTCTATTGTACAAAATCTATTTTGGAAGAAAGTTTTGATATTTTAAAAGTTAGGTTAGAAACAAATTTTCTTTCATTGACAGTAAATAAAATTCTTAAGAAAAATGCAGAATTGGAGAAAGAATGCCAAAATATAAAAAGAAATTGCTTGATTATGTATCAAACTGGAATTGAATACTTAAATCATTGGACTGTTCAATTTTTGCAATTCAAAGTTTTTAATTGGATGTCACTTACAAAAATCTCGTTCTGGGAGGATGGTATGGAAAGTATTGAATATCTAAATGAAAGGACTATTGCAGTTGACGATTCGAAATACGTAAATCAGTATAGTTCTTGGAAAAATTATTTAAAGGTAAATTCTGATTTAAATGAAAAATCAGTAAGTGAAAAATGGCTTGTTGTTGACAGGCAACAGACAATCCGGAATTATATTCTGAATTGCTGAAGATTTGCCAATACGTTTTCAATTCCTGCACACAATGACACCACACCACTGAAAAAGTATTAAGTCTGGAGGAATCTCAGTGGACAAATGAACGAAACAGAATGGCAATTGAAACAGTAAAAAGTCTAGTTACAATGAAATTCAAATTAAACAATCGAAATTGTTTAGAATTTTATGATGAAATCTGAAGAAACAAATAAGTGCTTAGCAGAGTCAGCACACCAGAAAATATGATTTCGTACAGCAACATTAATTAAAATGTGAACAATTAATAACAAAATGTTCGTCGGCATGATGAATAGCCGGCATTTAAGAAAAAAATGTTGATATGGGGTCTCGGAGGCTTTGCAGCGTACTTTTTATTTTTCCATTTTCACTCTCGTACCATTATGCAACACTGATTCGTGACGAAGAGCATGCAAACTAAACTTTTTAGAAATTCATATTTAATATTTCCAGAATAATATCGTGTTATAATGTATAAAAAATAAACTGTTTTTTAATTCTCTTTGTTGCATTTCACAAACTGACTTGACTTAATACTGTATTTGAATTTTCTGCTATTTCTGCCCCTGTACATCATACTTTTATTGTTAGCAGTAGAGTCGTGCTGGTCATCTATCAAACTCCTTTAGGGGGATACATTTTGAATATGGCTTGTATCGGAAGATCATATATAGTTAATCGGGACCTGCTTTCCCTAACGTTTCCACATCTGATCTCGAGTTTCATCTGTCTAACTCTGTTCTGGAGTTTAAGAAAGGACAGACAGACGAACGACAGTGGGAATTTATAACAAACTCTAATATGATACTGTGTATCTACTCTACATAAAAAAATACTTATCTTAAAATCGTCACGTCGCTGTTTTATGTCACGAAAAAGAAAAAAATAAAAACGATGGACCGGAAATCGATAAATTATCACAAAGAGGCCAGATGGCCGAGTGGTCAAGGTAGTAGCCTACCGCTCNTAAATTCTATTGTACAAAATCTATTTTGGAAGAAAGTTTTGATATTTTAAAAGTTAGGTTAGAAACAAATTTTCTTTCATTGACAGTAAATAAAATTCTTAAGAAAAATGCAGAATTGGAGAAAGAATGCCAAAATATAAAAAGAAATTGCTTGATTATGTATCAAACTGGAATTGAATACTTAAATCATTGGACTGTTCAATTTTTGCAATTCAAAGTTTTTAATTGGATGTCACTTACAAAAATCTCGTTCTGGGAGGATGGTATGGAAAGTATTGAATATCTAAATGAAAGGACTATTGCAGTTGACGATTCGAAATGCGTAAATCAGTATAGTTCTTGGAAAAATTATTTAAAGGTAAATTCTGATTTAAATGAAAAATCAGTAAGTGAAAAATGGCTTGTTGTTGACAGGCAACAGACAATCCGGAATTATATTCTGAATTGCTGAAGATTTGCCAATACGTTTTCAATTCCTGCACACAATGACACCACACCACTGAAAAAGTATTAAGTCTGGAGGAATCTCAGTGGACAAATGAACGAAACAGAATGGCAATTGAAACAGTAAAAAGTCTAGTTACAATGAAATTCAAATTAAACAATCGAAATTGTTTAGAATTTTATGATGAAATCTGAAGAAACAAATAAGTGCTTAGCAGAGTCAGCACACCAGAAAATATGATTTCGTACAGCAACATTAATTAAAATGTGAACAATTAATAACAAAATGTTCTTCGGCATGATGAATAGCCGGCATTTAAGAAAAAAATGTTGATATGGGGTCTCGGAGGCTTTGCAGCGTACTTTTTATTTTTCCATTTTCACTCTCGTACCATTATGCAACACTGATTCGTGACGAAGAGCATGCAAACTAAACTTTTTAGAAATTCATATTTAATATTTCCAGAATAATATCGTGTTATAATGTATAAAAAATAAACTGTTTTTTAATTCTCTTTGTTGCATTTCACAAACTGACTTGACTTAATACTGTATTTGAATTTTCTGCTATTTCTGCCCCTGTACATCATACTTTTATTGTTAGCAGTAGAGTCGTGCTGGTCATCTATCAAACTCCTTTAGGGGGATACATTTTGAATATGGCTTGTATCGGAAGATCATATATAGTTAATCGGGACCTGCTTTCCCTAACGTTTCCACATCTGATCTCGAGTTTCATCTGTCTAACTCTGTTCTGGAGTTTAAGAAAGGACAGACAGACGAACGACAGTGGAAATTTATAACAAACTCTAATATGATACTGTGTATCTACTCTACATAAAAAAATACTTATCTTAAAATCGTCACGTCGCTGTTTTATGTCACGAAAAAGAAAAAAATAAAAACGATGGACCGGAAATCGATAAATTATCACAAAGAGGCCAGATGGCCGAGTGGTCAAGGTAGCAGCCTACCGCTCTTGGAAACCCGGGATCCAATACGGACAGGTCAAAAGATCCCCAGGAATTTTTCAGGGGTTGGTCCCCGTCCCTCCCATTGTGGGACTGGTCGAACCCATAATGGGCTTGTTAAAAAAGAGGCCCTCTTAGGGCCCACAGGGAGGAAAGAGTAAAAAAAAAAAAAAATCGTTACGAAGTTTCTGAACCAGCAAGCGGGGTCGAAACCCCCTTATATTCATCTACGATCGTCGACAAATTCGTCTTATACGTAGGAAAAATATTTAATGAAATTATCGTTTAAAAACACAAAATGTTAATTAATTAAAGTACGTTTCCGTACGTAAAAAGCAACTTCGCTAGTTTAAAGCCTTGATTCATTTGCAGTTTTCTAGAGAAAGTTATTATGGACTAGCTGATCGTTACTTTTTGCCTGAGCAACCTGGCGTTGCTCAGGCAAAAAGTAACGATAGCAAAGATTAACATTAAATTAT